ACGACGCTACGGAAACCGTGGCAGACCAAACCAGATGAAAGTGCGCATTCAGCTCGTCAAAGAACTCATGCTCTTCCTCAACACTGAAGTCCTCAGACATTTTTCTTTCGTTGTTTCTTTCTTTGCACAGGTAAACAGCACATTTCTTCTTGTACGCTTGCATTATCGGCAGAGCAGACGCTGAATGCGCACTTTCATCTGGTTTGGTCTGCCGGCTTCCGTAGCATCGTGAACGCCCAGGCGCGCGCTTTCAGGAAATCCTATACACTACTGTTTATGCTCTAAAAACATTCTAAATGACTTTGTTTCGAGTAAATTATGGACGCTACCCACTCAGGACACTTGGAATACATTGGACGAGCAGTATGGAGGAATATTGACACGTTTTTTGTGGACTTTTATGGACCTTTCTGTCTCGGGCGCCATAGACCTCCATTATTTGAATGTCAGCAGACAGCAAGAAGCCTCCCAGATCTCCAGATGCATTTGAGATATCAAAAAAGTACTCCAGAGTGTTGTTCAGCATGGGGGTGAGTAGAAAATGAAGGCTAATCATGTTTTGTGTGTACTATTCCTTTAAACAGATGATTACTTTTAAAGATCAATTTCACTTACAAAATCAGCAGTTGCTAAATAAAAAAATACAATAATGGCATGTCCAGTTGCACTAAGGAAATGCTAAAAAGACTAAAGTTTGATGCACCATGAGCAGCGTAATGCAGACAGAAAGTAGCATTGTTTAACCACTCGCTAAAAGTTAATGTGACCTTTCTAGAATCTCCCTACTTAAGGTGGCTCAAGGTTTTAGTTCCAACATTTATGGATCAGAGTTTCTTCTTCCAATATGTGCAATATAAACAAGCTCTGCATGCTTCTCTCCTGTCCAGTCATACGAACATCCTGCCCTCCTTTGAGCAAAATCTTTCCTCTTACACCTTAAATGTTTCCTTTTAACGCTGACTTTAAGCCTCATGATTCCATGCAGATGTTCTTAGGAAAATCAGATGGTGTTCCACCCTTCACCTGTCTGTCTCTAGAGGTAAAGTGAAGAGGCAACTGGAGGGGATAAATTGCAATGATTCAACAGGTTCAGATAGTGTCCCCATCAGAGTCGTGAGGGCCTGTGCAAAGTAGCTGTGTGAAATTCAAGAGCAACACCTCATCCTAACCCAGCAGACAGTTCCAGTGTTGTGCAAGTCCTCTGTTTTGTTCCAGTACCAAAGAAAGCTCAGCCAATTGTCCATAATGACTAAGGACCTGATGCACATCAGATAGGTCCTAAAGAGACTTCTTTTGGTTCACCTGAGCAAGCAAAAAAGCAACTATCAGGTTGCTGGTGACGGTTGTCAAGTCATTCAAAAAAAAAAGAAAATTAAAAACAATCCACTGGACTTTGTTTCCAAGTTTGAAGACGTTTCGCTACCCAATGGGATACTGCAGGCTAACAAAAGAAGCCAAATGACCCCCTTTCCAAATGGGTTGACCCCTTCCTCTGTTCCAATTTGCATGTTTTCAAAACAAAAACAAGGTTTTGTTGGGCTATGCTGATGAAGGTTCTCAGTCATCCAGGTCATAGTCATTCCGTAAAAATTAAAAAAATATCCACTGGACTTGGTTTCCAAGATTTGAAGACGTTTCGCCACCTCTCCAGGAAGCTTTCTCAATTCAAATGTCTGGATCCGCAGTGAGTTTGAGTCTTATATAGACAAAGCATTGTGTCGCTTGGAAACATGCAAATGGTAATCGATGAATGGGTCGATTGGTTCCATCAATAGCCTGTAATACCTGAAACCTGTCTATGATTCTGAGGGTCGGTCGTTAAAGGGGGGGGGGGTTGCCGTTAAGGGGGGGATTGTCTCCTGTAACCTGAAACCTGTTTATGATAGTTGGAACTTTGTTGGGCTACTGTATAAAATCTCAAACTCAAAGCTATTTCTGACATTTTGAATTGAAAAAGCTTCCTCGATGGGAAGCGAAACATCTTAGAACTTGGAAACAAAGTCCAGTTGATTTTAAATTTTCTTTTTTTTTTGGAACAACTATCAGGTTTATTTTGCTGTTTGCTTATCATGGTGGAGTTGCAATAGAACAGTGTTTTTCAATCCTGGTCTTCAAAGTACTCTGCCCTGCATGTTTTAGATGTTTCCCAGCTTCCACACACCTGTTATCAATTGATAACAGATTATCAGGCTTTGCTGAACTGAAATCATCTGAATCAGGTGTGCTGAACTTCAGAAACATCCAAAACATGCAGGGAAGTGTGCCTAGAGGACCAGGGTTGAAAAACACTGCAATAGAAGATTCCATTACACACCTGCTACCAGACAGCACTGTAAGGATCGTGTTCTTTGATTTCACCAGTGTGTTTAACATGATTCACCCTGATTCACTTTGTCAGGTGGAAGACTCAACAATTGACTGATTAAGGACTACCTGAAAAGCAGACCATAGTTGAGGAGACTGAAATGTCAACTGTCTGATCAAATAGCAGCACAGGAGCACCACAGGGAACGGTATTCTCACCATTCCTTTTTACTCTCTACATTCCTGACTTACAATATGAGACAGGGGCCTTAAATCTCCTAACATAGTTGATAGACTCTGCAGTTGTTGGGTTCATCGTTAATAAAGAAGAATCTGAGCACAGGGAGCTGGTAAACTACCACTTTGTGGCATTGTGTGGAAACAATCATCTGATGCTGAAGTTCAACAAACACTGTGAGATGGTTGTAGTTTTCAGACGAAATATTCAAGTTAGGACTATATATATAAGTGATAAGGATTAAAAATATCTTGAAATAACACTAAGGAAACCTGTGAAACAGCATAGTAAGATTAAATAAAATTTTTAAAGGTAAAAATAATACCTGGAGCCAATTTTTGTCACGATTTGGTGTTGGATTGAGGACCCAAAAGCAGAGCCAAGTAGGCAGAGGTGAATTTAGGTGGGTTTAATGAGGTTCTCAGGTACAGAGGCAGGAATCAAAAATCCAACAAAAATAACAAACAAAACCAGAACCAAGGAGACATCAGGGGAAACCAAACACTAGGAGCCAGGGAGAGAGGAGGTAAGCAGACAGATGTTTGACGAGGATCCAGCAAACAGGAACTGAAGAGGGAGGCTTTTAAAGGGGACAGAGACAAAAAGAGGGCTAACGAGAGGATTGAAAACAGGTGAGGACAGAGCAGAAAACAGAGCTACGGATAGAGGACACAAGAGGGCAGCAGAGAACAACAAATGGAAAACCTGGAAGACAGGAACTAACAAGAAAACAACAAAATAATAATTAGACAATAAAACAAGAAGCAAAGTAAGACTGAATACTCTAAATAACCATAACAAAACCAAGACTGTGACAATTTTTAGATTAAATGGAAAAAAGATTTCAATAACAGTATGAATGTACAAACACACATATGACAAGGGTACGATTGCATCGATTGCATTGGGATGTTGAGAGCAGAGAATCCTAGACAGTCTAACAGCAGCTGGGAGAGAGGATCTGTGACAGCATCCCTTTGTACTTTTAGTGTCACAAAGTTTGGTCAAAGAAGGAATATTCACCCTTTAAAACTCTGCTCATATTCAGAATTGAAACTTCTGAAAGTTCTTTAAATATGAAATTATTCCATTTTGTTCAATGAATGATCAGTTTTTTTAAATTAAGAATAATTTACATTTGAATGTTCTTTACTGGAGGCATCCATGTTTGTAAAAGAACACTACTGCCACCTACTGGTTTGTGACGTCACGGTGCGGTATCGGCTGTTGATCAAGTCCCAGTGCTGTATCTGGTGTTTGTCACAACGCGCTATTATCCAAGTCATCTTGAAAACATTCTTCTTCCAAATGTTGGCTACATATTACGGGTTTTTTCTCTGGCCAGAAGTTCGATGGCAAATTCCTACCTCTTCAAGTTGGCGATCCAACGACCAACCCGTCCGTGGAGGATCAGGAATCAGAAAGGTTTTTTTCACTTTTACCCGATGTATTCCAGCATCCAGCTGCCATGCACGTGGGCATTGTCAGTTTCACTATAGCTCTGGTGAATTTCAGTGGTGAAGTCCTCTGGAAATCTTCAATAATTGTTGTTGATTGCAGATGTGTCTAGTAGTTCCCATTGATTTAGCTTGTAAAGCGGGGAGAATGGCGCTAGGCTTACCGCACCGTGACGTCACTACCGGAAGATGGCAGGAGGGATATATGTGGGCAAAAATAATCGCGATGAAAATTAGCATTTTTAATTTTTTTACTGATAATTGCTAAATTCAATAAATCACCGCGTACGTATTAGTTTAAGGTATAGATAATAATCCATTCATTATTTCTTGCTGACCGGACTTTTCCTTTAAGCCTATTTTGAAATTAGACTAAACAAATATCACTAAAAGTAGAACATGCACATCAACGCTGCAGCCCGGATTTGGTTAGCTAAAACATGAAATGAAGCTGTGTACAAGTTTGGAAAACAAAAATATTTAATAATTAATGTTACGCCAATTATCCTACAAAGTAATTTCTTAAAAACAGACATTACAACATTGTTAATAAGATAAATAAGAAGAGCCATTGTGTAATGAGGTTCTCCCTGCAGCTAATTATAATGAGTGTTAAATCTTAGAAAAACATTAATGCACACATACAATAAGTATATATTTTCATCCGCAGGTATGCTGTTTTTTTATACTGTATAGAAAGCTTAATGCAACAACCATGAGTAAGATAGTTTGATATAATAAGTGACCACAAGATAAGATGTTTTAAAAGGGGCTAAATTAAACCCCAAGGAGGAAGGATTCACTCCTGATCATCCCTACTACAGCAAACAATAACTGCAACATTGAAGGCAGAGTGCCACTGTGATTCTATCGCTTGTACACATCCAGTCCCTGATCCACCCCCTGATTAGAGGAGGGAGAGAAAATCCTCATCTTGAGTCCCACAATCATTAGTGTTGATCACAGCTGCAATTAAACTCTCGTTTATCTTAATTACTGAGCTAATGAGACGAGTCCCGCAGGAGCGAGCGGCTTTCTCCGAGGACACTTGGGGCGAGGAGCGGGGAAGCTGGAGAGGCATCAAGCAGAGTCACACTTAAGTGTGCAAACAAGCACGCCTTGATCTGACTCAGCCAAGCCTAGGCAGATGGAGACATATTGATACTGTATGTCTGTGTGAAGAAGCAAACACGGGAAAACCCATGATGACAGGTGCACACAGACAGCAGCTTCTGGAAAAACCTTGACTGCACCACCCTTCGATTTCCATTATCTGTCAAACTTATAATGATTTTATCAAGCCTTCATTGCGGTGCTATAACTCTTGATTTTGCAACGGCTGGGAATACATCGCGCCACCTAATTAATGTCTTTTTAATGCCCTTCTCCTCTAGAGCTTAACTCGCTCATTCAACTTTGCAACAAACACAACACAGAACAATACAACATGTGGGAGCAGACGGTAAGTAAGACCGAGTAGGTGACTGCAGCAAATGAGAGCAGAGGGTGACTTCAGGAAAGAAGAGGCCTGAGTGGTGGACCCTGTCCAGGGTGCACATGTGGTCATGGTGAGAACATGCACATACAGTCATAATAAAAAGAAGTGGATCCTCTTAATTAGGATGTACGGAAGAGGATTAGGGCCACTGAAAAAAAAGAAAGTAAACTGATTTTTAAACTTTATTTCAGTTTAACATGGGAAAAAAGTCAGAATTCTGAGATTAAAGTCAGAATTCTGACTTTATTCTCAGAATTCTGACTTTAATCTCAGAATTCTGACTGAATTCTGACAATAAAAAAAAGTCAGAATTCTGACTTTAATCTCAGAATTCTGACTGAATTCTGACAATAAAAAAAGTCAGAATTCTGACTTTAATCTCAGAATTCTGACTGAATTCTGACAATAAAAAAGTCAGAATTCTGACTTTAATCTCAGAATTCTGACTGAATTCTGACAATAAAAAAAAGTCAGAATTCTGAGAAAAAAGTCAGAATTCTAAGAATAAAGTCAGAATTCTGACTTTAATCTCAGAATTCAGTCAGAATTCTGAGATTAAAGTCAGAATTCTGACTTTTTTTATTGTCAGAATTCAGTCAGAATTCTGAGATTAAAGTCAGAATTCTGACTTTATTCTCAGAATTCTGACTGAATTCTGACAATAAAAAAAAGTCAGAATTCTGACATTAAAGTCAGAATTCTGACTTTAATCTCAGAATTCTGACTGAATTCTGACAATAAAAAAAAGTCAGAATTCTGAGAAAAAAGTCAGAATTCTAAGAATAAAGTCAGAATTCTGACTTTAATCTCAGAATTCAGTCAGAATTCTGAGATTAAAGTCAGAATTCTGACTTTTTTTATTGTCAGAATTCAGTCAGAATTCTGAGATTAAAGTCAGAATTCTGACTTTAATCTCAGAATTCTGACTGAATTCTGACAATAAAAAAAAGTCAGAATTCTGACATTAAAGTCAGAATTCTGACTTTTTTCCCATACTATACTGAAATAAAATAAAAACTAATCAGTTACTTTTTTTTTTTTTTTTCCAGTGGCCCTAATCCTCTTCTGTAAGGATGTGTGACATGTTGGCACAAAGTACAAAAAATAAATATTTTTAATTGAATTTACATTTATACAAAACAGAGCCTGGTTTGTTTGGGTTGTTTGTTTGAGAAAACCTGCTTACACTGCAAAAACGATCTAGAAATAAGTAAAAATTTCTTAAGTTAAGTGTATTCACCTTTAATTTGAGTAGGTAAATGAGATAGTTTGCCAATGGAATGAGTAATTTTACTCTTAAAATAAGAAAATTAGATAATATGCATTTGAAATAAGACAATGCAATTGTGTTTTCTTATTTTAAGTGTAAATTGTCTTGTTACATTGGCAAAATGTCTCTTTTACCTCCTCCATTCAAGAACAAATGCACTTATTTTAAGAAAAAATTACTTCTCTAGATTTAGATTTTTTGCAGTGAGGACCTAAGTTTGCGAGTCGTCATGTATAAGAACCACAGAGTTTCTTGGAAATTGTCCTTTGAAACAATAAAAAAAAACTGCAGCTGTTGGTCCATTATGCATTAAGCCATGTTTGGAGAGAACCATAAAGCAAGAACCGCTAGCAGCAGGTTAGCATGGCTTTGGAGCCCTGATGTTTGGACCTGGGCCCCTGGGCTCTGAATTACTTAAGATCCTTTATTATGACAGTATTTAGAACAGTTATTTAAGACCATCTGTGGCCCAGTAATGTTTAGGTCACATTAAGCATGGCATACACTCTACGATTGTTTTCAATCGTTGCACGTAGCTAGAGATCACACTGTACGATGAAACCACAGGGATTAGAAGTTCCCAGCTCACGATGTTTGTTCTCACACTATGCGACCCGACGCTCTGATGCGATCTATCTGCACACACTGTACGTCTAAAAACCCACGTGAGAATCAGCTCCTCAGTGAGATGGCGCTACTTGGACTCATCTATCCGGAAGCCAAATGAGTTGGCAATTTGTGCCATTTTGTGCTGAAAGCCCTAAAAAGAAAAAGCGACGACGTGGCTACTACAGTCTGTTCATTTTCCAGAAATCACTCCGTTTCACTCACATCCCCGCCATGCTTTTGTGTTTTCATCATCCTTTTTAGCACATGCCCACTAGAGACTGACAGGGGAGTGGATTTTCACTCCTGTCCCGTCCCACTCCCACAGAAAAAAAATTATGTCCCGTCCCGATCCCGGGCCAGAGTAGAAATCTAAATCCTGTCCCGTCCCACTCCTGGTGAAATTACTCCCACTCCCATCCCGCTCCCATTCAGAATGACTCCCGCTCCTGCACCACTCCCATTCGAGTCGAGTTTGCCTCCAACTGTTGGTCCCTCCATTGTTGTTTTTGAGCGCGGGTGAAAAACTCAGAGCGGAAGCACTGTTGGTTTTTGGGTCGTGTAGTTTTTTTTGACTCGCATTATAGTGTAGCTTCAAGGAAAAAAAACTTCAAAATGGCGGCGCCAGTACTGGATTATTTTTCTATTTTATTTGATTTTTTGGCATCGATCCTAGTTTTTTTTAGTTATTTGCCCACTACCACCTTATGACGGCCGACTAAATTTAAACCACTGTAGCTCTGGTTTTATGTTTAGGATCGCTGTCCTACCGGAAGGTGAACCTCTGCCCCAGTCTCCAGTAATTTCATTCAGTTCAATTCAGTTTATGTCTATTTTATGTCGATTCACAGCATATGTCATCTCAAGGCACTTTACAGTTCACCAGATCGTCGAAGCATATGACGTACTAACAGAGCGACGACGAAAACACAACCACAAGCCAGGCTACTCTTGTCGAAACCAGTCGGGAGAAGAGCAAAAACATCTTTTCCTCTGAGAAAAGCCTCCAGAGCAGTGTTTTGCTTTTCTTTCAGTGAAGAAATACTCTGTAATTCCGATAAAACTTGCTCGCTAGCCACACCAACGCTAGTTTAATCGGCTGAAGCCGCCATGTTCTTCAGACTGAACTGTCGCGCTTCTCGTTGCGTCACACCTCAACCCGCCTCAAAGCCAACGCTGATTGGACGTTCGTTTGGTGAACGGCTCCAAATTTTCTCTAACGGAGAGTCTACAGACTGATCTGCGAGTGAAACCTTGAAAGCTCGCGAGATCAGGATGGTCTCACGAGGCTAGAAAACTGCAGCATACACTCTGTATAATTTCAGTTATTTCCCATCAACTCTATATATAGAAGAAACAAGGCAGTATAGTTTTATCATTACCAAAAACACACTGCTTACTTGATGGCTTCTAGGTTCATCATCTGGCAAGCTGAAATATTTGTCTTCTAGAAAGACAACAGATTTCTGCAAAATATTTTTCATGACACCATAAAAAGATGAGATCAGGTATAAAGCCAAATCCTAAAACATTTCCTCCATTAAAATTTAGATTTTCTTTCAAAGAGCATTTTTAAAAAGACAAACAATATATCTGGCAGGCATAAAGGTAATTCTTGGAAGAGGTAAGAGAACCAAGTTTCATCCTTATCGTCGCCATGCAAGCTGTGCCTTTATCTCTGTTTAGAGTAAAACTATCAGATTAGCAAAACCAACACAAGTTAGGAGTATTAAATGAACCCTCTGCACTTTTGAACTAAAACCAGTGTCACTTCATAAATAGAATAGGTGGAACATCTGAATGACAAGTTCACTTTACTATTACTACCCTGGAACAATGATAAGATGTGATTGATTCCCCTCTCATTGCTAGTGATGTCACATCAGTTTGAGGCTCTGACCTGACACGATGGTGTAGCCAATTCCTCTGGGTTGGCCACGGTCCTGGTCAATGGCTACGATCTTCCGCACTTCATAGCCCTGCAAAAACAGAGACAACACCAATTAAAGGTTGCATTAAGTAATCCTAGCTTTGATTCTATTAGTTTCTAATTTATTCAGATATAACAAACTGATGAATTGGAGAAAAATACCTGGTTCTTTCCATTTCTGCATTATTTGCAGTGACTGTTGATATTAGATTTTTTTTTTTCTGTTCCACATGAGGAACGGTAATCTTTATATTTATGAACACTGGAAAAAATATTTGGAAATAAGTAAAAAGTTCTTAAATTAAGTGTATTTACCCTTGATTTGAATAGGTAAATTTAATAATTTGCCAATGGAATGAGTATTTTTAGACTTAAAATAAGATAATTAGATAGTATTCACTTGAAATAAGACAATGCAATTGTGTTTTCTTATTTTAAATCTAAATTGTCTTGTTCCATTGGCAAAATGTCTCTTTAATTTTTTCAATTTAAGAACAAATGCACTTATTTTAAGGAAAAATGACTTATCTAGATTTAGATTTTTTCCAGTGAATCTGTTTATCTTTCCTGGTTAGAGTAATGGATTTTGGGTTGGATTTGGTTTGTTTAATATTTTTTGGCGTCTTCTGTCCACCTTTTTTGTTAAAGTAACTCCCCAAATTCCCAAACTGTAGGACAATCTTCCCATAGTCAAACATCTTTCAAATTACTTACAAATAAACACTGATTCTTACGCCACAATGCCAGCAGTAAACTATAAATCATTTAACATTTTTTTTTCTTCATATCTTCATATCTGTTATTTTATGTAATTCTAAGGTGAGTCTCAAAAGCCAAGCAGAAGAGCTTGTTAGTTAAAATATCTTAATATATATATATATATATATATATATATATATATATATATATATATATATATATATATATATATATGTGTGTAAAATCAATTTGGGGAAAACCTCATTTAATAGCAAACTTCTCATGTGTTAAATTCTAATAACTGCTTAGTATTACTGGAATTCACATAAGTTTGATAAGACGAAAATCACATTGTTCATGTTGTTTATTTAGCTAAATATTAATTATGATTTTTTTGGTATAAAAAATTAGTTTAAACACTGGAAAAACGATTTAGAAATCAGTAAAAATGTCTTAAATTAAGTGTATTTACCCTTAATCCGAGTAGGTAAATTAGATAGTTTGCCAATGGAATGAGTATTTTTACTCTTAAAAAAGGATAATTACATAATATTCACTTGAAATAAGACAATGCAATTGTTTTTTTTTTATTATTCTGAGTGTAAATGTTCTTGTTCCACTGGCAAAATGTCTCTTCTACCTTCTCAATCCAAGAACAAATGCACTTATTTTAAGAACAAATGAGTTATCTAGATTTCAATGTTTTCCAGTGAAAAAGATTTGTTCTTTCGTGCTTTTATTTTTATCAATATAAAAATACAACTTTTTTATTTTTATTGTGCTATTAATTTATTATGCAACCTAAAATTTCAAAGAACAACAAATATTTAAAAGAAGTCAAGTATTAAAAATACAGAGAGATCATTAGTCAAACGATTTTTCTTTCTTTATGTTTGATATCAGATTTTTATCGGTGTTTGTGTTTTTCTTTTATTGTTCGGAAGCCCTCCTGGTGTGCCAGTCAGTCCGCTCCCTTTCCAAATCACAGTATGACAGCTAAAAAAAGAAAAAAACTGAATAAGAAACAAAAGAAAAAGAACGAAAGCCATTTGAGAAGCCTTTGATCTGCAGCACATTTCAGCTTCCCTGCTTCAATCAGACACGGTGGTGCTGCTTTAAAACCCCCGTGCTGCAGGGATGAGAAGCTTCCTACTTCCATGCATCCTTTCTTCCTTGTTTTTCATGCCTCTGGCTCCTACCTTAGGGAGCTGCCTCCCATTGATCCTGCAAATTGTGTCTAAGACATGTTTATGCTCGATTTCTAGCAAAGCATCTCCTGTCATTGACCAATTACAGCAGAATCAATTACAAGCCTTTTTAAGAAGAGACTCATTCCATAGCTGAGAGGGCAAAAACGCACACATACAGGAACAATGTGGAGAAAAATAAAAAGAAGTGATGCTAAAGTAATGTGAGCAATATTTTTGAGCTGTTGACACAAGTGGAATATGTTCAATCAGCCATCACAGATACAATCCCTCCCCCTTAGGGTGCAGACACACATCCACACGCACCCATACACAAGCCATCCTTCAATTTTGCTATACAGTGCATCCCTCCCCCACCTCCCTTTTTTCCTTCTCTTTCCTCCTCATTGGTTTGACAGCCAAATTGTGTGTTTGTCCTGGAAAGAGCTTAATGTCAGTTAGAGCATAGATTCACAGCCATAACTGTTAAAAACACAGACCTGTGATTTCATTTGAAAATAAAAAAAAAATACAAAAAAACAACATAGATAAATAAATTACATTTTTCAACACTTTGTCAAAGTTTTTTTTTCCTGGATGACAGGTTGATTGGCCCTAAGAGAAAAGGAAAGATAGCATTTGAAAGGCGAAACATGGTCAAAGAAAAAAGAAATAAATAGAAACTATAACTCAGTGAGATGACCTATGTCAGAAGTCTGTATTTAATGGCCTTATGTGTAAATGTCACCAGCTGACATGTTGTACAACATCTGCTTTTCAATAATAACCAGTGCAAAATGGACAACTGCTTGCCTTTATAAACACTTCATCCATCCCTGTAAAGAAGTGTTAATAAATAATGATTTTTATATGCTATTGTTTAACACTGAAAAGTACCATATTGATAAAAACCCCACAAGAAACAGTGGTAGAATTATTCATCATCTAAAAAATAATACAAATAAACATGTATTTAAAAATATATTTAATTGTTTGTGTAAATCAAAGTTTCTAAAACCTTATTCTTGATACTTCATAACCACTTTTTCTCCAGGGGCTGCAACATTCTCAGTCCAATATACCATATTTGCTAGATTCTATCAAATAAAAGCTAAGCAGAGCTGCAGAATATAGATTAACACCGGGGATGAGTGGAGTCTAAAGTTTTTATAACATTAAGCCTTGCTTTCTGTCATAATTTGTGGGCATTAAGATCTAAAGAGAAGCGTCATCTCCTGGTCAGACCCTGTAATTCAGTGTAAGGTTGACGTCAGAGTAAAAAAATATATACATCGCCAGGAGAAGGAGGGGTTCACTCCAGCGGTTGGAAGTTGGAGGGGATTCTGCTGGGAGTTGCAGGGAAGTGGGCTGTCATTTGGCTGGAGTTTGACTGGGAAGGGCCATTTTGCTACTGTAGACATTTTCCTCCAATCCCCTAGCTAGGACATTACATATAAAGTTATTGCTTAACACCTTGAAAGAAGCCACCTTCGCATGCCTCGTTTATGTAGTCGCTATAATGCCTTCTTGAACCGCTCATTATCTGACTCATCACCCAATGGGGTGACAGTGGCGTCAGATGTAGGAGTTTGCCCTGAAATCGAAGGATTGACGGTTCAAGCCCTGACTCCGACTTTCAGTGTCGTCGTGTCCTTGGGCAAGACACTTCACCTGCATTGTACAGCTCTCCCTGGATACAGTTTGTTCAGAAACATCAATAAAAAAACGCTGACATGTAACCCAGATTCCGGAGGTATTGCAATCAAGCTTTAAAAAGATCAACAAAGATATACACAACACTGATAGTACCTTATCTTAGTCATGTAGTCTCTGTCAAAAATGAAAAAGCAAGGGAATATGACAACATGAAATAACAAGGCTGACAGTGGCGTCGGATGTAGGAGTTCGCCCTGAAATCGAAGGATTGACGGTTCAAGCCCCGACTCAGACTTTCATTGTCGTTGTGTCCTTGGGCAAGACACTTCACCTGCATTGTCTACTGATGGTGGTCAGAGGGCCTGGTGGTGCCAGTGTACGGCAGCAACGCTTCTGTCAGTGAGCCCCAGGGCAGCTGTGGCTACTATGCAGCTTGCCACCATCAGTGTGTGCGTGAATGGGTTAATGAATGTAGTGTAAAGCGCTTTGGTCAAGTCTCCTGACTTGAATACAGGCGCTATATAAGTACATGCCAATTACCATCACTTGGAAGACCCTAGCAGGGGCATTTAAGCCCCTGAAACACAGCCTCTTGTATCAACCGGCTGTTCAAAAAGAGGCTAATGTGTTCATGTGCTAGATTTACTTTAAATCCCAAAATAAAAAGACTTATAAACTTCTGTATCAAGTCAACACACTCTCTTTTATCGGCCTTTATTTTAATTTAGCCTCTTGGCTCTTGGTTCTTATACCACACAATCTCCTCTAGTTTCTTCTCCCTGTTGTGACCTTCCTGGTGACAGTTGATGAATCAGATGGTCAGAAAGACACTAGGCATCTGCACTGTCACACCCTCCTAATATGCATGCAAATGTAGCACTTGACATTTCTAGTATGTCCCATACAGGCTGTGGACCAGGGATAAGCAAATGGTGGTGTTAGCCTGGGAGCTGGCTGGAGTGAGAAACTGAGGGAGAGACATAAAGGTAATAAAGTGATAGAGAGGTAGAAACAGAAATAAGGACAGACTGTATCATGCCCATGTGTATAATTCCCTCCAAGCAAGTGGAAACATCAATAGCTGGAATATTAGCCACCTGGGTGCTAAGTTAAGGGGCTGAGCAGAGAGACTGAGTATAATGGTGCTCAGGGAAACAGTATATTAGATGGCCATTACAAACCCAATTGCAATAATGACTAAGGTAAGGTCATAGCGAGACCCCACTGCTTAGCAATTCATGCGATTCACAGACTCCTCTGACCTTTGCTGGAGGCCTAACATCCCAGAGGCAGGACAATAAATTTCCTACAGTAATTACAACCTGACACACCTGCAGTGCTGTATGCAGAGACCTCAGGGTGAGATTGGGATGGATGAGGGGGCTTCTTCAGGTAAGAAGGAGAAATATTGGATGGATTATAATTAAGCCCTTTGATTTGACTGTATTTTTTATGTTTAAAACACATCCCTGATCTACAAAGAGCAGCATGTTTACAACCATGACCCCTGGGGCATTTCAGGAGGGGCTTCAACAATACTTAGTAATTACCACAGTTATTTAAAAGACACAACCAAATTACTGTAAGAGAGTAGTAATACCACTGTAAGAGCTGTGTCCAGATTTGCTGGACAAAGTTTCTCTTACAAACCTATTTTGGAGGTTGGACATCACCACGGCTGGCCTTTGTCAGTAATCCTGTTTGTGGTATTTTAGGGACAGGATCATAAGGGTGCACTCAGGCAAAGCATGGTATCCGAGGTGATTTCCCCAAACCCCAAGGGGATTTAACTGCTCTGCATTTCCTATGAACTGTGTTTACACCCTGGATGGCATCATCAAATTGGAGGAAACTGAGCAAATAAATTGAATCGTTAGTGCTACCTTAATGAGGGTTTATGAATTAAAATAAACATTTGTAAACCTTGAAAAAAAAAAAGGACGGTCATGTGTGCTACTTTTGTTTCAAAGATATCAACAATCCCCCCATTAAGCTCTAAATTTAATCAGAATGATCTACCTTTTCAGTGCTACTTCAGTTGTGCTGGTAAAACTGTCACTAGTGCTGATTTGGTTCTTACAGTAAGATACAATCCTTTTTTTTTTATTTTGGCTGATGACATCACCATCCCAGCAGACAGTGTTATAAAGTTATTACATAACATAATATATCATTCCTGTACTGGCATTGAATATGGCATTGATGTTTACCTTTACTGGATATAATCATTGTTTCACAATATTCTGCAGTTTATCAGCATCCCAGAATCTGGACCTGCCGTTATCCATGACAACCCCATAGCATTTCCTGTCAAGCTCAAGCTGTAAGTACTTCGCAATAAAAAAAATAAATCACTTTGGTTCACCCAGAGCTGCGTCTGGATGACAGTCGGATTCGGCATTACTTTCTTGTAGAGCAACCAGCACAGAAAGCACTGATGCTGGGCAGTGGGCAACAACGGACCGTGGTCTGTGTTGGAGGTAAGGGAGGATGACGAACATTCCTTCTACGGCTAAATTAAAAGGGCTTTTTAAAAGGCACTTAATAACCATTTCAGAGAAATCCCGATCAACATTATTCCCTCTTTATTCCATTTTAACTAAAGAAAGTTTTGTCTTGGCTGCACTTCTTTAACTTACGTCACAACCAAAAAGTCCCTTACTGGTTTCTACGATATGATTTCCAAGGAAAGATTTTTCAACTTCAGTGGTCACCGCTCCGCTCTCTCAATACAATGCCACTGTTTGACAACACCTCAGTTCTATCGAGCAGCACAAAGTCAGAGCGGCACACTGACTACCATCACCACGTTGGATTCACCCCTGCCTGCTTTCTCTCCTAAATCCACCACCCTCTCTGTGGACATCGCTTTCGGTCTCAATGTAACCAGGTATATTTTGGTCATTTGAAAATACCAAAACAACCGGATGATTGACTTTTCAGATTGTGTGGTTCTGATGGCATTTTAAGCCACAACCTCATGTGTTCAGCTGGTTATTAAGCCAAATAAACAGACTTTGAAGCTCTGAGGACAATGACCAGTTATTCTAAATCAGAAGCCACATTTACAACTGGAAAACTGGTGGCATTTTCCATCAAAGTCAGTCTAATTTTACCTGTCTGTAAACTAGGTTTTGCTTTTCTTTTATGTTTTGTTTTTTCTTGTGATTTTAATCTTTTAAAGAGCACTTTGTGTCATGTACAGTAGGGACAGTTTTCTTTAAATGAAGATGATATGATTGTTTAAATGCTATAATGTTGTTTGAGTTTTTTTTTTTTTTTACAAATTGAGGCATTGCTTATTTGGATAATTGTACTAACCAGAGAAACGCCCTCTTCTATGTTGGTACTGTAGGGTAGATTGGTGAAAACAGGGTCCATGTCCTGGACGTCAGTGATGGTAATAGCCATGTTTGCAAGCCGGGACAGAGGTCTTAATTTGTCTTGGTCCTATCAAATTACAAAGACAGTGTTAGCAGGAGCCGATAGTCAAGATATGTCTGGCTGCAGAAGGAAGCCCCAATATTCTAAGCCTGCTGACCGTAGCGTTCACTGTGAGCTGGTAGGCAGATGTTCTTTCGTAGTCCAGCGGTCTGGTGACGGTGACGGTACCTCTGGCTCCGTCTATAGCAAAGAAGGGAGAAGGTGGCTGGAACGAGAAGAGAATGCTGCCCCCTGTGCCTTGGTCTGGATCTGTGGCGTTCACCATGAATATTGATGTTCCCACCGCTGTGCTCTGAAAGACACAACCAAGGAGATAAGAGGGAGACATGAGAACAGTTTAAAATAAATTTACCAGATTTTCTGGACAATAGAGTTCACCTCACTATAAGCCGTGACCAGTAGGTTTTTTGAAAAACTTGGAAACGTACACATATAAGCCGCACAGGGCTATAAGCCCCTGATATCTACTCAACTGTCTCCCACCAAACCTGTAGGGGGAGCTCTACATATAGCCCCTAGATTAGGGACAAAGAAGAATGCTAGCACCCGTTAGCTTGTTGACTCGAGGCAGTTAGAACTTCTAGTGAAAGATGGGGCTTTGTCATCCAAAATAAGCTCTAACTGATGCCTTGTAATGCCCATGAAATGATGCACAAGAAGCATTTCATGGGCATTACGCTGCCGTGCGTTATGCATATGCACTATTTTTGCACGCCACCTGTCACTTTACTTGGATTTATCACTTTACTTGGATTTTCACTTTATTTGGTTTTAGTTTTTGACATATGCATATATATACATACAGATATATATACAGAAGAGCTATATGTGTATATATTTTATCACTTTTTATTCTTATTTTTGTTTTATCTTTATTATGTTGTATAGTAGGATGCGTGTATATATTATATACAACTGTTACTTGAGCGTGTAACAAAAGTAATTTCTCTCTGGAATTATTGAAGTATTTCTGATTCTGATAACTTAGGCTGTCGTTGGACATAATTTCAGGAATCTTTTTGAATGCGCTATGTATACGCCCAAAATTAAAAACATTCATAGAAAGTTCATGAATGCCTGCGTTTAAGGAGATTCTGGGACATAAGGCATACGCTGGCTAAATCATCAAGGTGTGACAGGGCCCCAATAGCCTGGGTGCCATTCCGAACTTAGTCCCGTCCACAACATTTGAGGTCGGGAAGTTCGGTCTGGCATTGCTCAACAGTAGCGCGAGTATGCTCGCAGAATATCTGGCGGGCCAATCAAATTGTCTGGCCGGGCTTTATACGATGATGGACAGATGATCAACAGTAACGTAATCAACCAAAGCGCGCATGGGTGACAACAACAATGGCTGCCACTGGAGAGTTGAGGTGAGTAGATTCTGCTATTAGGTCTGTTCTAGAAGATATCGACAGCAACTTAATTTTAAAAGAGGAACAGAGAAACGCGATCGAGGCTCATCTTCTTATTCTAGGCGTGCAACTGCACGCTTTGATTTTTGTTGACAACAACTATGCCTCGCTTAACATACGTCACGCACTCCGTTGCTCTTATTGGTTGTAGGTCTATCCAATTGAGTGCAGAGGGATTTTTTTTCCTGGTTCGTTCGAAACACGCCCCATAATCACAGCTCTATGGAGCAGAATCAGACTCATATTCTGACTAGAATTGAGTAGGACTATGTCAGGCTAGGGCCCCAACACACCTTCAGAGGTCTAGTGTGACTTTAACTGGCCAAAGTTCTTTTGGCAAGAAAAGGAGAAATATAATTAATGTAATGTCTTCACAATAATACGTTAGCAGGGAGACGCTCATCCCTGTGTTGTTAATGCCAAAAAGTGCAAATATGTTTACAGTATCTGTTGAAATGAGGAACGAAATAATTAAGATGAAAGCCTGAGCCAGGAAACTATGGTCGATATATTCATTATGCAGATCAATCTGTTGTTAGAAATGAGGAAAAACGCCTACTTCACCCCACAGCCTGGAGTATAACAATATTGTTTGTATGCACAGATCCATGTATGCACCAGTATCTCTGGATGTCATGGATGCCAACATTATCAACTTTGCTTTGATGTCAAGGAGGCAGACTGATCCCTCTGCTCTTGCTGAGTGAGTTTGTGCATGCTTCATTTTAAGGAATAAGCCTGAGAAGTTTTTAAATGTACGTATTAGGACACTATTTCTCCCCCTAAAGCGTGCAGCTTTTATCTCTTCAAACAGCAATCCTGTAAAACACTGAATCATTACCATCGCCCAGTGTCAAATGTCCTACAGCACATGACAACAGATCCCACCTTCATTCCAATATGTAAACACTCACAAATACCTGTTTGGATCTGCCAGATTTGACAGAGGGGCTGCGTTCAAAGAGGGGCAAGCAACAACCATTCCAAGAACTGATGAGAAAATAACTTCTACATATTTTCATTTTAAAATCTGTTACAGTCAGATTTTCAGATTGCTCACTCCAGTTTGGCCTATGCTTGTAATGCATAGAGCAGGGGTAACCAATTAAAATCAGTGGGATAAAGAAAACCATCAACCAGTGAAGGTCAGGACACATTTTCAATTATAATTTGTTACTTTAAACAGAATTTAACACTGAAATAAAATTATGTTTTTATGCATCCATATTATACCTTTAATTGTTAGAAAATATAAGAAAAAAAGATAGAACATTTTTCCATTTTATAATTTAAAGTAGAGAACAACAGTCTTTCAGTTTGGTATATAGACAATTTCCTGATTCACGTTTTATAAAACACCTGAACTGACCATTTGATTTACTTTTTTTCCTTTTCTATGGCTTAATGAGAGCAGTGGGCTTTAGGCTGCCCTGTGAGGCTTTAAACCTTTCACGATTTGGTTTAACGTTTCTTAATTGGACCCAAAAGCAGAAGCTGAGAGGCAGAGGTGAGTTCTTGGAGGGTTTAATGCGAGATCAGGCAACAAAAACAGGTATCCAAAAATCCAACTTAAAAAATGTTAAACAAAAACAGGAATCCAAAAATCCAACATACAAATCAAACACTAACCAGAACCTTGGAGACATCAGGGAAAAACCAACAAGGAGCCAGGGTGAGGAAAGGTAAGACGAGGAACCAGCAAAGAGGGACTGCAGAGGGAGAGTATTTATGGCTGACTGAACAAAGGTAGAGCTAATGAGCTGATAGGGAACAGGTGTGATTAGAGCTGACGAGGAAGCCAAGGGAAAAGAACACAAGGAGGCAGCAGAGGACAGACAGAAAAACCTAAGCAACTTAAATGAATCCAGACACACCAAAAAAGCTAGAAAACAATGAAAAACCTGGCTAAATTTGAAACAGAAAACTTAAAGAAAAACAACAGAACCAAGATTGTTACAAAACCTGGGTTTGAATGGAGACCAAGCCATTCTAAAGCACATATCAAGGTGCTCATTTTGAGCCTGGATCGATATTCATTTTTGATTAGGGTCATGGTGGAGAATCTTGCTTCATAGCAGCCGGTTGGGTCATCTTTGAGCACGCCATTTTACCGCAGTTCTTCCAGCAGTCCACACTTTTTCTGCTCTCTTTTTCTCATTGTCTTCTCCTTCTTTCCCATCGCCACAGGTTTTGCCTGCTGTGTCTAAAAGTAGCAGCAGCAGCAACCCAGACTGACAGCTCATTGGCTAATTTCAACATATTCTCATTATCAGTTCGTATGAAGTCGTACGAAAAGTTATGCACAGTATTTCGTATGTTTTTGACGTTTTTCCTCGAAAAAACAGATCAGTGCGCATGCGCAGCCAGACAGACGAAAAAAACAGATCCGCGGACGGACGTAAAACTGGGACGGACAGTGCAATAATTACGTCATGATGTCTCTTACTAGGTTGCTTGCTGTTTTGTATCTTAGGGTTAGGGTTAATTGTATGTTAAATTATATGTTATTGAATGCGTAAGATGCGCATGCGCAACGATATCTTGTCTTGTGTCAAGACGTAAAAATACGACGAAATACGGCGAAAACAACATAAAAAACGTACGAAATACTGTGAATAACTTTTCGTACGATTTCGTACGAACTGATAATGAGAATACACTGCTAATTTGGATCATGTGTAGCCTGGTGCCGGACGCTCCGGAGGATTTTACCATATTAACAGGAGAAGCAGTGCAAGTGAAGTTAGACACTGTCGTCGGTCAACATGCGGTAGTTTATTAATGTTTAAATCAGGTTGGGTTCTGATCAGCCAGCAAGTGGGTCCGGATACGGGCCGCGGTTTGCTAATCCATGACCTCTGGCATAGAGGATGACTTTGAGCTTCTGACAGATACCTCTAAAGCCAAGAGGTTTCATATATGGAGCCCGTAGAAAGCACAACTTAGGAGGATGGAAGAATGCATGGCTCAGTAAAAGATTAAATGTGGACAGATGGGCGAAAAAATATTCTGATATTACCGACAAAAAAATCACTTATCATTTGAAATCTGATGCGAAAATGTTTTGAAAGACAAATAACTATCCATACTCTACATTTGCTCATACAAACCTGGTGCCTGACACCTGGTGTTCTGTCAGATGAGCATAACCGGTCAGACCAGGAAACCCATAGTCAATACCCGTTTATCCCTTTAGTTTTGTCCGAAATATAAACTTTAAACTACCTCAACGGGCGTGTATCCCTTTAGTCATGTATAAAAATAAGAATCTAATTACTTAATTTTTTGGTGTTTTTTGAAGCATATATTGATCTCACCTGAAATTGTTTTTTTGTATTATATATCAACTGCAGGCAGTCAGTAAATGCTGCTGCTTGTACTGCACTCTTCTATAAGAGAATAGGAAACAATGGAAACAATGGCAAAATGCTAATGTTGCCAACGCTAATCGATGTTGGCCTAGTGGTTAGAGCAGTGCACTTGTGCTCTGAGCAGTGATGGGACTAACGGCATTGAAAGTAACGGCGTAATCTAACTAATTACTTTGACTGTAACTACAGTATAACGCAGTTACCATTGCAGACACCCCGTTACTCCGCGTTACTCAGGTCGCACAATGAACCTTTTTTCATGATAGGACTCGTGCGCGCCTTGTCATGAGAGAGGGGAGGATGAGAATGGCTGATGTATAGTGAAATTCCGTCTGTCAGTTGTGTAGGTGGGTGTTTCTGCTGGTGGGTGTTAACGTACAGCACACACAGAGAGATGGAGAATGAGGAGGACTCCTGCAGCAAAACAGCGTTTTCCAGATGGAAATACTGGTGTTACGTCGAGCTGCGTTTCCCCATCAGATACGGTTTCCCCTGCATCTCCGCAC